CCTGCTAAAATATATAAAGATAATGACCAGCTTACAGGAGCCAGTAGGTTTCTGTAGCTGCACACTTGTATGCTCGTATTAACAAGATGATCTAAATGAGAACACATTTCATTTCAATGACTTTCTCATGTAGCATGGCAAATTGGGGCTTTTCCAAATGTTTCCTCATTAATTCACTGTGCCATGTGTTTATCTTATGGAAGCTCCTGTCGTCCTCTTGCCACTCATCACTATCATACCCACATGATACCTTTACAAGATAACTGTAATGGGTGGATGGGTTTTCTGCAGTTTCATTTTAAATGCATATTTATATTTATGTGGCATAAATTATGCTCTACTACCTCTTTCCAATTTGACCTCAAAACGTGCTGTGAAATGAGTTCTGTAGAGGCACTACAATGCACTGGGGAGAAAACGCATGAATTAACAGTCATTCGTGTTGACATAGAGGGTTTTATAGCAGGTGTATGTGGGTTTTTTTGTTTTGTTTGATTTTTAAATGGACCCTGCATGATCTTTCATGGATTACAGACTGAGAGATTTAGCTGTTTACTGCAGCCTGTATGAAAATGGTAAAAGCATAGGCCCTCAACCTTGTCATGACCCCATGTGGGGTTGAAAGTAATCATTATTATTTTATTTTTTTTACAACTGTTACTATGCAGTTCTATGCAGATAAATTAGATTTTTTAAAATTTCACTAGCCTAGGATATTTATCCAGTTTCCTTGATTCAGAGTTCCTTTGTTGCCTTTTTTCATCCAACATGCTCTCAGGTTATTCAGAGGGTTTTTTTATACCATGTTTCAGTGCTGGAAAATAGCTGGCACAGGCATATAGTTTCTAGCTAGCAACTATGTCAATACATAGTTGCACATAAGCTACATTTCAGGCTCCTACTGCTGCATGCACACTTTAGAAGTGTTCTACTGTAACTGCATTCTAACTGATTAAAGGAATGAATTTACGCATTCTGTTCTACTCGCTGAGGACAATCTGCAAATCTTAAATTATTTTTTGCATGAATTCTAACAGACTGCAGCATTTTGATGTAATTGACGCTACAAAGCAAGAGAACAAGCAATAACTATTTACATGAGCACACTTGAAGTACATATGTGTGGTTTGTTTTTGGATTTTTTTGTTTAAGTAGTTTATACAGGAATTACGAGAAGTAGGTGAGGTGATATCATTTGGGGGTGGCTGTGGCTCAAGTGGTAGAGCGGGTTGTCCACTAATCGTAGGGTTGGCGGTTCAATTCCAGGCCCACGTGACTCCACCTGCCAAAGTGTTGTTGGGCAAGCCGCTGAACCCCAAGTTGCTCCCGATGGCAAGTTAGCGCCTTGCATGGCAGCTCTGCTACCATTGGTGTGTCTGTGTGTGTGTGTGAATGAGACACAGTGTAAAGCACTTTGGATAAAAACACAATATAACTGCAGACCATTTACCATTGTTTGATACTATTTGGCTTCTCTTTGACTCTACCTCAGAGTTAATGTTAGTTAATGTTCTTAATGTTTGGTAGCTAATATGAAGTTTGTAAAGATTAGTTTTGCAACTGAGACCCATGTTGTAAAGTGTTAGTAGGTATATGCAATAAGTGTTAATATGAAATATCAGTAAAACACTTGCTCAAGACAAGCAGGCCCTTGTTTATGATCCTTTCTGTCCAACCGTATATTTACATTAGCTGACATCCCACTGCATTGCCAAAGTTTCCAGCAGGCTCAATCAAATTGCGTATAAGCTACATTTGTATTTAGCTTTATTTGATAAAGCTATTCTTTTTTGAAATAAATATTTTTATTGGAAGAGATGGCACATTGGAAAAACAAACAAACAGACTTTAGTACACTGAGACCCAAGCATAAGAGGAGAAGAGAAAAAAAAAAGAAGGCACAGAAAATTGTGTCGTCTCAGTGACTAAACAAATTGGGAGCCAAACCCCCTTTTATTTTTGTACAAATTAGAACACATGCATACGTCCAAACTCACCAAATAGAAACAAAGAGAAAAGTAATAAAAATAAATAATTAAAAACAAAAATGACGGAGAAAAGAAAAAATAAGAAATAAGAAAAAAAAATTTAATAAAAAAAAAATTAAGGGGATAAACAAAATAGATAAACTAACCAAAATAAACTGGGGGGGGTATTCTCTCAATCTGAAGGCAAAGATGGCAAAGATTTGAAAAAGTTAAGAAAGGCTGCCACTTTCTGTGAAACTTGCCAGAATCGGCCCCCCGAGAGTACCTAATCTTTTCCAACTTTAGAAAAGACATAACATCCCTAAGCCACTGAGTACTGGAGGGAGGCTTCGTGGATTTCCAATGGAAAAGAAGGCGCCGTCTTACTAATAAGGAAGTGAACGCCAAGAGATCTAATTGGGTCGAATTGTACCTGTCATAATCCTCCGGATACCCAAATATGGCAATATGGGGAGTGGGTTTAACAGTAATGGACAGTATTTCTGAGATGCTATCGAAATAATTCTGCCAAAAGGAGAATAACAATGGGCAAGAGTAGAACATGTGAGTGAGATTGCAGGGAGAGGCGTGACATTTATCACAGCGGTCAATGACAGTGGGATAAATCTGTGACAGACGTGTTTTGGAGAAATGAATCCTGTGTAACACCTTAAACTGTATCAAAGAAAGACGAGCACAAACTGTGCTCTTGTGGATCTTGCTAAGGGCAACGTCCCACCAGTCTTCATGTAGTGTCAACCCCAATTCGCCCTCCCAAGCAACCTTGATTTTAATGAGAGGTGAGCTGTCATCGTTGAAGGTCAGTTTATTGTAAATTCCTGAAATACGAGATTTCTGAAGAGGATCAGACAAGAGAAAATCATCCCACAGTTGGCTTAGGGGTAAGGAGGGAAAGGTAGGAAACAGCGATTTTGCACAATGTCTAAGTTTATTGTAAATTCCTGAAATACGAGATTTCTGAAGAGGATCAGACAAGAGAAAATCATCCCACAGTTGGCTTAGGGGTAAGGAGGGAAAGGTAGGAAACAGCGATTTTGCACAATGTCTAACTTGGAAATAACGAAAAAGATGTGACGGTGGAAGTTGAAATTCGCTCGACAGATCTGCAAAACTACAAAAAGCCCCATCCTTATAGAGATCTTTGAAAGTTTTGAGACCTTTGTCATGCCAGATAGCAAATGTGGGGTCTGATATTGCAGGTTGAAATGAGTGATTTTTCAGTAATGGAGTGAAGGGAGACGCGGGACGAATTTGAAATTCTTCCTGAACTGGTACCAAATTTTTAGAGCTGCACGAACCACAAGGTTGTCTGTAAAGCCAGAGAAGTTGGTAGAAGTGGAAGAGGTAAGCAGAGCCATTGGAGAGGACGAGCCGCATTAATGTACCTCTCCAATGTACATAAGATTTTATGAATATGTGAGGCCCAGTAATACAACTGGAAATTTGGAAGAGAGAGGCCAGCCAGAATTGAGCTTACATCTCTGAAGCATTGACTTACTTATTCTGGGTGACTTACCACACCACAAAAAGCTAGAAATGTCCTGATCTATAGTCTTAAAAAATCGCTTTGATAAGAATAGAGGGAGACATTGGAACAAAAAGAGGAACTTAGGCAGGATATTTATTTTTACCGTGTTAATCCTTCCTATCAGCGACAGAGGTAAAGACCTCCATGATTGAAGGTCAGTTTTGATTTCAGACATCAATGGGGAGAAGTTAGCAGAGTAAAGTGAAGTCAGAGACCTGGTTAGGTTAATTCCTTAATACTTAAAGCCAGAGGGGCTCATTCTGAAGGGAATATCAGATTGAGTCATTTGTAATGCCAAAGTATTAACCGGGTAGCACTCACTTTTGGAAACGTTAACTTTATAACCTGAAAACGAACAAAACCTTTGGAGAAAGGACAGAATTCCAGGTAGAGAGTGACATGGGTTGGAAACATACAGTAATAAATTATCCGCATAAAGAGAAAGTTTAAATTCCATGCCCAACCGAGATATCCCAGTGAAAGAGGAGGAGGACCTCAGATAAATTGACAAGGGCTCTTACGCAAACAGTAAAGGAGACAAGGGACAATCCTGTCGAGTGCCACGGGATAAAGTAAAATAAGTTGACTGGATACCATTAGTGGAGATACTAGCTTGCGGGGATGTATACAGAAGGTGTATCTAAGAAATAAATGTGTCACCCAATCCGAATTTGTGCAATACTGTAAGCAGGTAGTCCCATTCAACTCTTTCGATTGCTTTTTCAGCATCGATGATAAAGCTATTCTTAATAATCTTTTGCACAAGGTATATTGACCCCAGTTAACTTCTACGTAGCGCAATATAAAACACTACTCAGGACAGTGTAAGAGATAGCCCAGTCTTTCAGTGAGGTCAAATTCTGCCATTCTGTGTAAAGGAAGATATGGTTTCTAGAGCATGTATAAATTTGCCATTGTGCAGTAATGATACTGTCATCATAATAATTCCTTCATCAGCATTTGGAGAGAACAAGATAGCAAAACGTGATCCACAGTTTCCACCCAGAGCTATTAATAACACCTATCAATCCTGTGAATATTAGAACTGATTGTTTAATTACATCTTAGAGCCTCCTTGTTTCCTTCTGACTCAGTATTTGCTGTGTGAATGGTGGGCTGAGGGAGGTGATAAGGTAGTAACATAAACCATTATTAGCACATTGAATTTTCATATTTACATTGATTAATATTTCTTGTCAAAATCCTGGCAAAAAGCAATTCATGAAGCATAAAATATCTCAATTTTCATCTAAATATGCCACTCAAATAGGAAATAAATGTCACAAACAGTCATATTAAGAATATATTAAATGTGGTGATTGTTTTTGTTTCCTTTGCTTTGATATTTGCGTGTGTTACTCTTATGAAACTCGAAAGAAATTCAAGGCTCTGAATGAGTTTTCATTTCTAATGCAGTAACATGTGGAGGGATTGATTAACCTTTCCACTTTTATTGAATATACAGTCATGAATATAGATCTGAGGGCAGGGTGGCTTAGTGATTAGCATGTTTGCTTCACAACTCCAGGATTGCAGGTTCAATTCCCGCCTCTGCCCTGTGTGCGTGAAGTTTGCATGTACTACCTATTTCCTCCCCCAGTCCAAAGACATGCGCTGTAGGCTGATTGGCTTTTTTGCAAACTGTCCGTAGTGTATGAATGGGTGTGTGTGATGTAAGGTCTTAACAGTGGCTATGCAGGCAGCAAGAAAAGCAAAAAATTATGGAGTTGGCTTTAATTTCTGTTTAGGCATGCTCCAAAAAATTTTTTTAAAAATACAGAAAAAATGTACAAAACAAAACAAAAAGGAAAAGAAACAATAAAGATTACACTTAATACAAAACAAGAGAAAAAGCAAATCATTGGTTACCGGCCCAACAAACACCCCTTTTCCTTTTGCCAAATGTTTTTTTCTTGCACCAAACTTCACAAAACTCTCTATCTAAATGGGGCTCCACCCCTCACATTCAAACAGTCCAATGACAACCTTCTATGTTTAACATGATTAGTAGGACCATTTCCACTTTATTCTACAACAATCGATAATGGCATATTCTCTAACATGCTCTGTTTTGAATAAACAATGAATAAAGTTATCTTGTACAAAACAGTGTTGTGTAATTCTTTAAATTGAATGATTTGTGTCTCAAACACTCCTTTATCACAGTGAGCGATTGTGCCCTGCAATGGGTTGGCACCTCATCCAAGGTGTCCCCCACCTCGCAATCAATTTGACATGATTTAGCCAATCTGTATGTTTAAGTAGGAGAAAAGGAAAAAAATCTGATGATGCCACATAAAGTAAGGAGAATTTTAAATTTTATATCCAAGACTTTTGAACAGTATATTTAGATTAATATTGTATATTGAAGTATATTCTTTATTAATTATTACTTTAATGTGTTATTCTATGAACAAATTTTGTATATAGTTCACAATCATGAAGTATCAGGACTACGGCCAGTGCTATTTAGACAAGCACAATAAAGAAAATGTGTTTGCACAGGGAAGGGCTAGACAAAAGCACGCATGGCTGGAGGATGAAATTGCACAACCAGGGGCTACATTCTATATTAAAACACTACCTGCTGAGGGGAGCCTACTGATCCCATGGTGGCTCCTTGCTCAAAAATCAATGCCATGATGAGACTGGCTACACGTATCACCTGGGAGGACAAAAAGGAGTCAAAAATACAGTGGCTACTTCTAAGAAAGGTTTTTATTAGTCATTGTCAGCATATTCACCAGGTCCAGTAGAGGACACCTTTAAATGAGAAAATCTGCAGTAGTACATACATGACTAGTACAATAACAGGGTTGCAACTGCTAATGACTAAGCATATTTTATCCAGCATTGGGATGAAAACACCACCAGGAGTAGTAATTTTGCATTGGCCTTCTTGAGTACCATCAAGGAAGAGATGGGGAAAATGTAAGAACTTGAAAACATAAAGGAGTCTGTGATCTAGACTCTAGACCATTATGATCCAACTAGCTTATGATCTAACCCCATATACTAATGCTGGATTACATGCTTCAATTCTTTAGCAACTTTCAGAAACTAAACAATGTGTCATCGTTAGACAACAAACCGATGCTCAGTGTGGATGAGCATCTGGGGAGGCCATGATTGGTTTTCACCTAAGACCTAAAAAGGGGTACTGGCTATACAGAAGGTTTCATGGCTGGAAGCTGATAATACACTTAAGGACCCACAGCTAGCAGCATGGCATAGAAGAAATAAAATCACTGCATACCATAATCAAGAGGAAAGAAATTGGATGAGTAAGGAAGTACATTGCCAAAATAATCTCTCTCTTTCTTTCTGTTGTCATGTCAAACTCACATCATAAAACCTGGCTTTTAACCAGCTGGTGTTTCACCCATCCAAAGCAGCACTACCCCATAATAAAGGTATGTACTAGATTATTTTTTACATTTCACTCCTGCCTGCTCCCAAATTAATTCCGACCAATGGCTCCTGCTCCCACAGGCAAGTTGATCAAACATACCGGACCCTGCACTTATTACATTGGTTCTTTTTTTCTAAAATACAAACAAGTTGCAATTTTAAACCACACTGACACTACCCAGAATTAGAGAATATTGCATTAGTAAAGATTATTGAATAAAAATGGAAAATGTACTGCAAGCATCACATCACATCCAGGTCCTTAAATGTTAATCAACACTGAGTCCTTTCTTTCTCCCTAAAGATTCATAAATGGCCATCTACACCTGCCCACATGAAAGCTCAAAATGTTTTCCTAGTGTCCCAATGCTCACCTCTACCCCACAAAACCTACACATTCTTTGAATTCCACCATCTCACCATGCACTTTTACCTCTCCTCACACACACTTGAATTATATTTGCCCCTGCAGTGCAACTCGTGTTCACATTGGTGCTGTGTCTCAGATCATCAGATCATCATGTGTCTGCTATCATATTATTGACTACAGTATTAAAACAAATAAGTCTCTTTTGATATCTTGACTAAATATTAGATTGACAGATGACTAATAGTAATCTTATATGCTGCTCACAATTATAAGAGCTCATTTTTCTTCAGTCCCCATCTTTTTCTGTTTTTCTGTCAAATGAACAAAACATCTTTTACTGAGAATGGAAATTGGTTCTGTGGAAGATTCTTCATTTCTTTTTAAATAAATTGACAAGATGGATCAGAGAATTCATACTATTTACAATTCACAACAATTACACTAAATACCATCTTTTAAGTTTTTAAATGGCATATTACAAAGTAAAAACTGTACCAAGTAGACATATAAGCATTAGATATTTCATTACAAACATTTGACTGGTTTAACTTGGTGCTTATTTTAAACTAGATCTAGAATTTCTCATCTATGCATTCAAAGGAGAGGTTGGCAAATTAGATTTCTGTTTCCAAACGAACCACAAAATGTACTAATATAATGTACCATGTTTATTATTAAAAAGGCTAGCCTCAACTGACTATTTGAGCCAAATCAGGACTCTCTCTCTCTCTCTCTCTCTCTCTCTCTCTCTCACACACACACACACACACACACACAAACAATGATGACCAACATCAATTGTTAAGGTGACCTCCTGGCTCTGGAGCATCTAGTGTCATCAAATGTCCCATAGCACAGTAATTAAATCCATAATTCCAAATTAGCTCGGAAGGTCATCTGTCAGAAAGCTCACAGGTTGGGCTTGAGATGTGGTGCTCCAGTGCCCACAAAATATCTATCTAAATTGCCCCACTAAGTCTTTAATACAACCATATTTAATAATGTTTCAGTGTCCCTGCAACAAGTCAGACATTATTAACTTTATCTCCTCAGCTGTGAAACGAAAGACATTTAATTCCACTAAGTACATCAGCTTCTAGCATTTGTGGTTGGCACATTGCATCAGCAAAGGCAACACATGAATATAAATGCATGGGTTGGGATCTCTTGTCTTTGTTCAGCAAAACAGAGAGTGAACTAAATGAAAGAAATAAAATACTAAAATATGAGATGGTGCATTGCAAGGGAGAGCGGCCCATTCAGAGCCTGAGTTAAGACGTCTCTCCTGGCACTATTTATTACCTGCAGTTAAAATCCCAAGGCATGCTCTGCACTTCAACAATTACTATGCTATGTTTATTGTACCAGGAGCTGAATACAAATGGGGCCATTTTTGACACACTGATTTAAGCAGTAGGTTTTGTCATTAGGTAATGCAACAAATGCACTATGTGCTTTGATAAGCTTCTAGAATCTTCTCCTATTGAAAATTTATCCATGGATTAACCTTACTATATCTTGTGTCTGTTCAATCACTAAATGTTTACAACATTTATTCCAGACACCAAACTGATTTCTACCACATTGTAGTACTTGCATACTTGCATATAACACAACCACATTTCTGTAATTGCATTTCTTAAATTTCAATCAGAGAAGCACTGTTGTGTCTCAGTGCTACTTTGGTTTATCCTCTTTCCACACATTTACCACATGGGATATGTAGTGCTTGATACAAATTTTAAAATAGAAAGAAGTGTGAGTGTCCAACTCGGTCCTATAGATATTTGTGCTTTCTCACTTTCTTCTAACACACCGTATTCAGCCCATGAACATCTTGGTAATTAGCTGATGAGTTGAATACTGTGTGTTGATGAGGTAGAATGCTAAACGCTGCACTCTCCTGTAATTGTCTAGACAGAACATATTGCGTTGCCATACAGGTGTTGAGATTTGATGGCTGTATTTTTCTCCATTAACAGTAGTTATTATGGACAGACTGTATTTGGTATTTGTGCACTCATTAATCCATTAACCTGCTAATATATATGGAGTAGGGTTCAGCTGTGATTGATGCCTACGTGCTGCTTAGCACTGCTTAACACGCTGTACCTAGCTATTCATAAATACAATGAATATTATGAATAATAATTCAAAAAGTGAGGGATAAGTATTTGATCCCCTGATGATTTTGTGCCCACTAACAAAGAAATGATCAGTCTATAATTTTAATGGTAGGTTTATTTGAACAGTGAGAGACAGAATAACAACAAGAAAATCCAGAAAAACGCATGTCAAAAATGTTATAAATTGATTTGCATTTTATTGAGGGAAATAAGTATTTGACCCCCTCGCAATCAGAAACATTTCTGGCTCCCAGGTGTCTTTTATACAGTTAACGAACTGAGATTAGGAGCACACTCTTAAAGGGAGTGCTCCTAATCTCAGCTTGTTACTGTATAAAAGACACCTGTCCACAGGAGCAATCAATCAATCAGATTCCAAACTCTCCACCATGGCCAAGACCAAAGAGCTCTCCAAGGATGTCAGGGACAAGATTGTAGACCTACACATGTCTGGAATGGGCTACAAGACCATTGCCAAGCAGCTTGGTGAGAAGGTGACAACAGTTGGTGCGATTATTCACAAATGGAAGAAACACAAAAGAACTGTCAATCACCCTCGGCCTGGGGCTCCATGCAAGATCTCACCTCGTGGAGTTGCAATGATCATGAGAACTACATGGGAGGATCTTGTCAATGATCTCAAGGCAGCT